GTCCTATTTCTCTAGTATGTTTTAAACTTAACTCGGAGTCAGTATCTCTATTCTTTAAAGAGTTATAATCATTCAAATTTTACTATTGAAAAAAAGATCGGCAAAAAATTGTCATATATGAAAATTTATATATGTGATCAACTATGCTATGTTTGTAAAATCATATAATGTAAGACACCCCAATGAGGGATGGTATGTGGTTAATTTGTGGGGCCCTGTGGTGGATAGAATGTTTGATGATCTTGAGGATATTGATATAATTAGGTAAGAAGAATTACTAATATTATTTCTGGTTAATCCTTTTTTGGTCTAATAGTTAATCTTCAATCATACAATTTAAATAGGGGTGATGCTTCCTCAATAGCAAGTTCTGAGAGGAAAAATCTCAATAGGAATTTTACTGAAAGAAAGAAGGTTGGTAGAAAAATTGATGGGTTGATTAGGAACACTGATGGTTTGGAATATGGAGGGATGGAGGCAGGAAGATACTATGAAGGTGAAAAAGGAATGAAATGGTTGAAGGAATCTGGTTTGAAATTGCCGAAACTATCAAGAGATGTGCTGGTCCAATTGGATCATGAAAAAAAAAACAGTTTTGGAGGAGTTAGAAATTGTGGGTTTTGTTCATGGAGGTAAGTAAATTGTTGATTTATTTGCAATTTTCTATTAACCTTCTAATAAAATATTTACTTTCAACAACAATGATTGATGAAAAAAAATTTAAATATAGGGTGTTCCTTAATGTTAATCTTTGTTGATATTCCAAAAGGATATATTTGTAGGCTAACAAGAAGCATTGTTTATGAAATTCCTACCAAAATCACGTCTTTTTATAAAGCTTTAGAACTAATCAGTGCAGTCTGGACTGCAAAGGTATGTTTGTATGTGCATGTATACATTTTATGTTGGATGTTTATTAATTGTGAATTTTTCTTAGTCGAAAGTTCAAAGAACAATTTCTATAGTTGAGCAACCAAAAACTAAAATATTGGTAGGTATTAAAAGGAAAAAATCTCAAGAGGAAAAAAGGTTCAATGGCTCAAATACATCACCAAAAAGAATTTCAACTGAACAGTAGTCTTGCAATACATTGATAATTTAATCAAATAATTCCACATTATATTGAGGATGACAAATGATCAAAGTAATATATTGAAATTTAAAGAACTAATTAGATATTATTAATAATATTGAAAAATAACATAGATACTTGCACATTGGAAATAATTTTCATTTTCATCCTTACATCTTTTTCAATAATTACTATTCTTTTTTTTACTTTTAATCAGCAACATGGTTATATTAATTAATATTTTATGATTTTTTAGTAATTGGGAAATTATTTCTTGTTTGCAATCAGCTTTAATAATATATACATATGTTTAATTTTCTTTTCACAAATCATGTGAATCTGTGTATAACAAACCATTTTTATATTTTCTCTACTAATCATGATTGTTGTTTAAATTTCCCCCCTCTAATTTTTTTAAAAAAGGAATTATTATTAGTTAAATTTGAATGGCCTTATGTTGCCACACACAATATTAAAATATAACTTATTTCCATTATAATATTATTGATCCCTGAAATCTTGGTAATACCAATGCTCACTTTGTCTGGTTTTGTTGCAGCATGCCCCAAATACAGCATATCATTTTCTTGAACATTGATAGAGATGGGATTGAACAAAAGAGTTATAATTATCATAGCAACAGGTGATAAGAATCGTTTCATTATCCCAAAAATGTCTTGCAATTTGAATTGTGCATAAGCCATGTTTTTTTTGTGCTTCAAGTAAGCAAGCATATGAAAATTGAATTGTGGCTAACTGCGGTTGTATTAATATGTATAAAAAGTAAACTCTGCCCCACCTCAAATATCTTACTAAAATGGCATGATGGTTTCCTTTTTGGTCTTTTTTAAAAAAAATTTATTATCAGATCTTTATTAATAAAAAGATCGACAAAATGAACAAATCGACAGGCATGTTCCCATTTTTGTTCTTTATCAAAGAGTATAAATAGAAACTTGGAAATATAAAAATATTTTATAATAATATTCAAGCATTTAAAACGAAAAATAAAAAAAATGTCTAATATAATTGTGGTATGTTTCTTTATTTCTTTTAAAAAAATGATTGATAGTAGAAAGATATATATATATATTTCATAAAATCCTAAATCTAATAATTATTATTTTGTTATTTATCGATAATTTGTAAAAAATTTTTTTTGTAAAAATAAAAATAGAATTTTAAAAACATTATTATTCATATTTTATTGCTTTATTATTTAATAATTAGCCATCCATTTATAATTCAGTTATGAAAGATGTAATTGAAAATGTGAAAAAAGACTTTAAAGACAGTGGAATTGATGAAACAGTTTTACATGAACTAGAACACGTGAGCAATATTATTACTTTTCAATGAGTGTTGCGATTATTATTGATTATTATATATACTTTTATTTGTTTATATATATAAATATTCATTATGATTTTTTAGAATTGGCTACAAAAACTTAAAAGTTTCAAGGTTGCATCTTGGAATCATAATGATGGAAATGTAGGAGAGGAAACTAATGGCAGTACAACAAATGTACCATTTATTCTACCTGCTACTACTACTACTACTACTACAGAATCAACAACTAATGTTTCATCAAAAGTAATTAGAAAATAAATAACAATAATAATATATAATATTATTATATAATATTGTTATAATAAATCTGTTTATATATTTCAGTATCCACCAAATCCAAATGAATTTGAAACACCGCCACCAGCAGCTGCAAATCTTCCAACTCTTGCAACATCTACACTCAGTTCTCATATAAAAAAATTCCAATCATATACGGTATCTAAACGTATAATTTATTTTTGTTATTATTATTATTATTATTATTATTATTATTATTATTATTATTATTTTTATTATTATTATTTTTATTATTATTATTATTGTTGTTGTTGTTGTTGATATTAATATTCTATATTGCATTTTTTCCTTGGTAAAATAATTTTTCTTCTCCACACCTTTCTTCCCTAAAACAAAATAAATAGAAGGACGCTCATACCTACACTGACCATTCAAACAATCCAAATCATCTTAATAACAATTATCATCATCATAATAATAATATCAATAATAATAATATCAATCACAACAACAACAACAACAACAACAACAACAATAATAATTTATTAACACAATCACAAACTCAATCATTATCATCATCTTCATCATCGTCAATATCACCAATACCACCACCATCAACAAACACTCCACAAAAGACATATCCTGATACATACGAGAAAAAAAGAAGAGATAGCATTACTAAAAGGAAATTGTATGTTGATGAAGATGATATCAATTCTGATCTTGATGATTCAGATGAGGATGAAGGAGCTGCCGAAGGAGAATTTCAAAATATCATTTTATGTTTATATGATAAGGTGAAATAAAAAAAAATTTTTCTTTATCATTATTATTATTTTAATTATTGATATATTATTTATATTATCCATTTAGGTGAGTCGCACGAAAAATAAATGGAAGTGTCAATTAAAAGATGGAGTTATGTTAGTAAATGGAAAAGAATACCTTTTTCAAAAAGGGAATGGTGATTTTGAATTTTAGTCAATATTGATGGCAGTAAAAGTAAAAATAATAATAATAAAACTTGAATAATAATAAAAAAACCGATTATTATTATAATATAATAGAATTTTTATAATATTAAAAAAAATAAAAAAATAAAATGATTTATTCATTCTATCAAACTATAAAAATTTATTATTATTATTATTATTATTATTGTTATATAAAAAGTTGATTTTATTTTGCTTCTAAATAAATAAAAAAAAATAAATCATTTATTTTATAGAACAAAAATAGGGCTACGGACAATTATGATTGAGGTCATATGCTCCATGATAGAAAACTTTATTTTTGTCATCATTAAAAGCTATGAGCATGGATTTTGTCAAAAACGGGTAGAAATGACCAAAAACTTGCCCTGTTCTAATCAATGGATTGATATATAGGATCTTGGTGTCTCTCTTTAAGAGCTGCATTTTTTACTATGATTGGCTCGGTCTAAAGACAACCTATTGCTGCGCCATGCGACCAAATTTCAGAATTTTGTATTTTTTTAAAAATTAACCATTATTATTTCTTAGATAAGATAGTCGAGAGCTAGTCTAAATTTAGAATGATCATAGCGGACGTGAGCATAGTAAAGTAACATGTTTTAAAAAAGAATAGAACTCTACAACAAATAACTTTTTTGAGAATGTCTCGTTATTACATTTAAAACTAAAGGCCTATTCTATCAAATAATAACGCTATCTTTTAAAAGGTCGGACAGAAAGTGACTTCTATACCTTTAAATTTCCGTTGTTTATAGTAAAAACCAATAAAATCGACAACTTTGAACCTTTATAGAAATTTTTTTACTAATATAAATGAAAAAAACTCTCTGATAGTTTATTAATTGAGTGATTGGAAATAGAATTGCGAAAAGATTATTCACACAACTTGCTTGGTTATTGAGCCTTTACGTTTTAAAGTTTATCTAAATTTCTACTGTTTAGATAAATTTGGGCTTTTATAAGAAAATTTTTTTACTAATATAAATGAAAAAAACTCTGACAATTATTAACCGAGTGTTTGAAAATACAATTGCGAAAAGATTATTCCCACAACTTGTTTGGTTATTGAGCATTTACGTTTTAAAGTTTATCTAAATTTCCATTGTTTATAGTAAAATCAACTAAATTGATAACTTTGAACCTTTACGAAAATTTTTTTTTATTAATATAAATGAGAAAAACTCTCTAATTTATTAATTGAATGTTTGGAAATACAATTGTGGAAAGATTATTCTCGCAGCTTGTTTGGTTATTGAGCTTTTAGATTTTGAAATTTATCTAAATTCCATTTTATAGTAAAATCAACAACAAAATTGATAACTTTGAACCTTTACAAGAAAAAATTTAAATTAAAAAAACTCTCTGATAGGCTATTAATTGAGTGTTTGGAAATAAATCGCGGAAAGATTATTCTCATATCCTGATTAAAGTTTATCTAAATCTTCAATAATGTTTTGGATATATATGTGTAACATTAAAAAATCCGCACATACAGTCTACTCTCTCTATAATGACCACTAAGTAAAATTTCTCTATAACGAACTTCCCTTTTGTCCCCGTTTCAATTTTTTATAATTAATTTCTCTCTTTATAATGACCAAAAGCAGAGAAATTACATATAGGGACAGAGGGTTCGTTATAGAGAGAGTGAACTATAGTAGAAAAAGTGATGCACAAAAATTCACTTCATAGCGGTAATATTCTTCAATTAAATTTATTCACGTAATGCAGGCAGGCTTGGAATTATCAATTATGGTGATCAATCATCTAAATCAATTAAAAAAAGCATATATAGTAAGAGTATCATCATATTCAGCACTTGAAGTGAACCATACATACACAATGGCACCATCCAATATTTATAGTTAATTGTAAAACAAACCCTAAAAATCAACAAGAAAAAATGAGTTACAAAAGAAAAAGAAAATCCCTGTCCCTAGTAAACTAAATATAACATATAAAATTTATCACACCCAAAAGTTATTAAGATTTTTAACATCTGGCACTCAAAAATAGGTGCTGAATTGGTTGTTATCAGTTGCAAGTAAAGTATTAGTCTTGGTATTAAAGTCTTCCTTTATGCATCAGCCAATCACAGAGAAAGCCCACTATAAAAACTGAGATTTTGTAAATATGTATGGTGCATAGTGTTGGTTTCCAAAACTAGAGAGTTTCGCAACTGTGCGAAAGTTAAAAGGTTTCGCCATAAGTTGAAACTAGTTTTGATTTTTGAATATTGATTTTTGATTTAGTTTTGACATATAACTTTTAATTTTAGTTTTGACTTTCCTTTCTTCAAAATAGTTTTGGCGACCAGCACTAATGGTGCAGTCAAATTTCAAAGATCAATAGGTAATTACACTACATATTTTCCAAATGCTTGATATGCTGATTTAATAATTATTCTAGAGTATATGTACATGTTATAGTTGTTTGCCAAAATTGTTTATGGAAAAAAGTAATTATGGCAGCTTTTCATGTTAGACTAAAGAGTTCAAATAATTTCGTATATAAATTTGGCAATGTTAAAATTAATTATGCTACTACTACTACTACTATAAACAACTTTTTCGACATCTTAGATTCGACTAACATCCATGACAAAATCAAAAGTCGTGTGGTGCAAAGCTCAAAGTGCAATTTTTCAACTAACCAAAAAACAATTTCTGGGAAATATTCTTTAAAGTAAATGTTTTCTGGTGAATGTAATTTTATTTTCTTGTAAATGCTAATGCAACCAACCGCACACTAATTCGCCTTGAACTTTTTTTGATTGGCTGAGAAACCGCATCTTACATCATGAATTGCGTCTTGCATCATGAATCACGCCGTGTCAGTTGCATATATATTAATATGGCAATGATGCAATGTCAAATTCTTTGATTTTTAATTGCATTATGACTCAATTCAATAATTTGGCCACATAGAGATGCTGTGAAAATGGGATAAAATTATTATCAAAGTAATTTTTCTAGAAATCAAAATTTCTAAATTGAGAATCAGAAGATCTTACGGTGCAATTGGTCAACTTCAAAATACTAAAACAAAAAAAAATAATCTCACTTTAAATAATTTAATCGATAAGTTTTATTGTTCATGACTCAAGCTTCAAAACTTATCAGCTGGTTTTTTCTTAAACTGAAAATTGGCTGAGCTTTAGCATTTTGAAAATCCCGATACACTTAAGGAAATTGAGACTAAGTAAATTTCGTGTAACAACTTTTTTTTCACATAATATTTTCTACAACATATTTATTTGATTTATTTATTTCCTTTTTTTATTAATAAATAATAGTTATTTACAATAAAAAATGTTTAACGAACATATTACGTTAAAAAAAATCATTACCAAATTTGGTCATGAGATTCAAAATAATATTAATATTTCAAGACGCTCTATTCCTTTTTTGTAACATGTGAACATGAGATTATAACCATCTCTTGTCAATTGGGCAGTGTTTTTGGAACAAAATGGAATTCCCAGGTGAAGCATCTTTGAAAATTTTTAGAAGTTCATCATAGCTTGTTTATGTTCATTCGCAGTTTTTATGTTTCTACTTACAACACTCTCATCAACAAATTCATCATGTAACATTAACATATGTTCTCTTTCAGAATGGACAGTTTTGATAAGCTCTTTCAAATTATCAGAACTTTTTCTTGCCCTGGGAGGTTTTGCTTGACAAATTTGACACCAAATATCTCAAGAGCCTTGTCATAAGCTAGATAGTGATTCTACTTGGTGAGGTTAATTGAACCAGCAATTCGCAGTCATTGTGGGAGTTCTGGGTTTCTGCTAACATGAATTAAAAATCTACATACAGATTCAGCATATTAGCTTTTGCCATTAATTGGAAAAATTGGAGCAAATCTTTCTAGGCTTTTTAATTGTAAATTCATGTTTCCCATCCTTATTCCCATTTTATGTAACTTTAATAATCCAGACCATTCATAATACATTATCCACACTTTAATATATCTATAGTACTAACATCATTTTGTTTTTTATATAGATTGACTGCAATTCCAACTGCTGCCCAAATTAATTCAAGAACTTGAAATGTTGATCTGTAATCTACCACCTGTTCCAATTTATCCAAGTACTTTGCATCAAGGGCTTTAGCTAATCCAAATATATCATATCCAGAAAAAGTAGAAATCAAGGTATTACACATAGCTTTGTTGGTGTGCCATTGTCCCAAAATACAATTCAAGGATTGATGAGGATTTGAATAATCATTTAATCGCTGATAAATTGCTTGATCATGGGCCAAATCTAAAGTACCAGACATACCAAAATCATTTAGGTACATATCACAAGATTCATGCACATTAGGATAATTTGGTTCTGGGCCTCTGTCCAAAATTACAAGTGAGACATCAAAAATATTTCCATAAGAATATGTATGTTCACTGATGTCAATATTGTCAACCACAGCAAGATTCCAAACATTTGGTCCAATTTTAAGTCTTGATGCTAGTACAATATTTGATATATGTTTTTGATGAATCCTAGATTCATGATGCTTTGGTGTGTGATTGGGGGGTCCAATATCATATGTGTTAACTGGTAAAATTTTTAGACATTATTTACTTAGTACAATAACAAGATATAAGGCTTGAAATATTCACTTTATATATCAAAAACATATGTGTAACATATTTTACAAAGATCATCACTCAAAAAAATTTATTATACTTATACCTGGTCTTTGCTAGAAAACCCACCATATATTAAATTTTGGTAATTTTTTTTTATGCATATGGAAAATCTACAAAAAAAAAATAAAAAGGAAAAATATTGGCAACTCTTTTTTTTTCTGGAAGTTAAAAATTTTAAAAGGAAAATCCGGATTTTTAAAGTACTATTTCCAGCCCTGATCTATACATGTGGTCAAAATTATTAAATTGTGTCAGATGCAATTAAAAATCTAGAAAATTGAACATTGCATCACCAATCATAATTTTGACACGTTGATGCAAGACGCAATTCGCGACGCAAGACGAAATTCGTGACGCAAGATGAAAAAATACGCATTTGGAAATCTTGATTGCAAAAAATGGTTGTAAAACTCTTAACATTACTACTATTAATCACTATTTTGATTATTTCTAGCCATTTTGAATAAAAAAAATATTAGTGCAAATATTTATTTACCAATCAAATTTCTTTGAATTATTAATATATGTGAATTTTTTTTTTGAGATTATTAATAAAACAATAAAATAAATTTTTGATTCTTTTCTTTTTTCAAGAAACAAAATTTTTTTATTTACAATTAACAAAAAAAAATCTTTTTCCATTCACTTTCTTTTATTTACAGTTAACAAAAAATATAAAGAATTAACACAAAAAATAAACTCACTCACCTTCCAAAGAATCAATTTTTTATTTACAATTTAAAAAAAATTAAATCTTATTATGAATTCTTCTGAAGATGGTGTTTCTACATCTACATTTATTACCAGAAAATCCAGTTCGGGAAGACCTGAGATGCAAGTATGGAACCATTTTAATAAAACCATTTCTAGTAGTAGGGGACATTATGCAGCTACCTGTAATTATTGTGAAAAAATTTGGGCACGTGGTAAACCAGATGAACTTCAAAATCATCTTGCAAGTGAATGTGACAAGTGTCCAGAAACTATCTGTGATGAATTCATTGAAATCATTTCAAATTGGACGTTAAAAGAAAAAAAGAAAAATAAAAAAAATAATCAGTCTCATATTGGTGATTATATGGAAAGTACAAGATTGAATGATAACAAACAAAATAATATCAATCAAGTGTTGGGATGATTTTTTATAACTTGTTCTATTCCATTTGCTGTTGTTGAACACCCATTTTTTGTTGAATTCTGTAAGCAACTTGAACCAGCCAATGACTCACCCAGCTGTACATCAATTTCAAATACCATTTTAAATCCAGAAAATGCTCAAATTACAATAAAAATCAATGAAGAACTTCAAAAAGAAGAGAATATTACAATTGGTAAATATTTTTGGCTACTCAAAATATTTTTTGTTAATGAATGATCAATTAATTATCCCTATTTTTAGCCATTGATGGTTGGAGTGATCCCAATAATAGAAATTTATACAATTTTGTACTCATGACTTCAGACAGAAGAGAATACCTTTGGAAAATAGAGGATTTTTCTTCTTTTAGTATCACTGGGGATTTTCTGGCAGCTGAAATTGAAAAAGTTATTGAACAAATTGGCCCCAAGAAATTTATTGATTTAGTTACAGATGGAGCTGCAAATTGTGTTGTTGCTAGACGTAAAATTAATGAAAAATATCCAAATATATTTACAATGTGGTGTGTTGCTCATCATCTAAATTTACTTTCAAAAGACCTTTGCAAACATGAATTTGCAGATAATACAATTAAAAAATGCCAAACTTTGGTAAATTTTTTTAAAAAGTCACATTTGGGAATGGCAGCACTCTGTGAATCAATGGAAAAGCTGCAAATAAAAGGTGGTGGAATTAAGACATTTACAAAAACTAGGTGGTCTACTGTCTTTGATATATGTGAGACAATATTAAGATTATGTTCTGCTTTTGAAGATGTAAGAATTAATTCTTTGTTTTACATGACACAATTCAAATATTTTAAAAAATTTATATTTTCTAATTATAGATTATAAGAGAAAAACCAGAAATTTTTAAGTAGTTTATGCATTAGAACAATCAATTCACATGGCTTTTTTGATGACATACATCAATTAACCATAGTCCTTCAACCAATAAAAAATACAATTGGAATCCTTGAATCAAAAAATGCAACCTTAGCTGATTGTTTTTTTAATCTATGCTGTCTTGCATCAGCAATATATTATATACCAGCTATTACCAACAATACTTATCAAAATTTTCGTAATTATTGTATTTGATAAATTTAATGAGAGATGGGTCCAATTTGAACACAAGCTATTTCTTTTAGCATATTTTCTCCACCCAAAATATCATGGTAGGTAAAAATGTATCTGCAAAAATTTTTTATTAAATAATTATTTATAAAATTTTTAAATTTTAAAGGATGTGGATTACAAGATAATATATTTAGAGAGAATTGTTTGTTTGCTGGTGAATTGTTGCAAAAAATTGGTTATAACACATCAGCAGTTAATTGTTTAATAGCTCATAGATATTGGCTTAATAAACCTCCATTTGATCTGGGGTTTGATTCTTTAAGAGATACACCTGTCACTTGGTGGCAAACATGTGTTGAAAAACCACCTTTTATTCAGACAATTGCTCTTAATTTACTAAGCATTGTACCGCATTCAGCAAATTGTGAAAGAATCTTCTCTGTGCTTCAATGGTTTTTTGGTCAACGAAGATCAAGGTTAGATCCAAACCAGATTTCAAAGATGGCCAGAATTCATTCATATTATATATCAAATTCAAAAAATCTATTACAATATTTTGGTCAAGAATTAACATCTGAACAAATTGAAGCACAAGTAGTTAATGCAACATATCATCTTACTAATTCAAATGAAATTGAAGAAGATGTCCCATTTGCTTCCTTATCAGATGATGGAGATGATGAATTACCTCAAGACTCTAGAACATTTTGTAAGTGAAGAAGAATTAAGACATGTATTGCAATTGGAAACATGTGTAATTATTTCTAATCAAGTATTTGTTAGCAATTTGGTAAATATTCAAGATGATGATAGTAATAATAATAATAATGACAATTATGTTGAAAATTATATTGGGGATACAGATTATAATGTTAATATATTAGTGGATGATATTTTAAATAATGAAATTGATTAAATATAAAAATGATAGTATTTTTTTTTATCATGTTTGAAATTTTTGTGAATTGCACAAAACTTCATATAATAAAAATATTAATTTACTTATAATTATGAATATTTTATATAATGAATATAATACACACAAAAGTTTTTCAATTACATTCATACTAGACCATAACCTTTTAAAGTTGTGAATTAGAAAATTGTGGATAACTAAAAAAAAAAGGTTTATACTTTAAATTAATTCCATAAAATATATAGAATTATTGCAAATAAATAAATAAATAATGTAATTTTTATCATTTTTGCAAGATTTGAACATCACTTTTAATTTATATCACTCACAAATTATGTCTTGCATCACGAATTGAGTCTTGCATCATGAATTGAGTCTTGTGTCACAAATTGAGACTTGCATCATGAATTGCATCTGTGTCTTACATCTGCGTCAATGCATCTCACACTAAACTAATTGCATCACACAACTTTTAATTTTGACAACATGTATAGTTGCAACCATCACCAAGAATTGTGACTGCATCTATAAACAAAACATACTAACAAACGTTCTATCAACTATTCAATAGTTGTATAGGAGTGATCGAAGTAAGCAACAAGGACAAGATAACAAAACATACTAACAAACATTTTATCAATTATTCAATAGTTGTATAGGAGTGATTGAAGTAAGCAATAAGGACAAGATTTATGAACAAAACATACTAACATTTTATCAATTATTAATTAGTTGTGTAGGTGTAATTGAAGTAAGCATTAAGGACAAGATTTATGAACAAAAATATACTAACAAACATTTTATCAATTATTCAATAGTTTGTATAGGAAAGCAATAAGGACAAGATCTATGAACAAAATATACTAACAAACATTTTATCAATTATTCAATAGTTTGTATAGGAAAGCAATAAGGACAAGATCTATGAACAA